TTAGGGGTGGCTGGCTTTCTGTACATTTGTTATGGATTTGTTTTTGTTTTTGTCCTTATGTTATTTATGTGTGTCATTTATTTGTTGTATATTTTATGCAGTTTCTTTGCTTGTGTCCCTTTGTGTGTATTTTATTTTCCTGTTTGATATTTGCACGATTGTTTTGTTTCTTTCCTGGCTCCTGCGGGGGCCTCTTCCTTTGCTCTCTACCTAATTTATTATTTATGCCTTTTTTATGGTGTGAGGCGCATGCCTTTTTTATGGTGTGTGGCGCATGCCTTTTTTATGGTGTGTGGCGCATGCCTTTTTTATGGTGTGTGGCGCATGCCTTTTTTATGGTGTGTGGCGCATGCCTTTTTTATGGTGTGAGGCGCATGCCTTTTTTATGGTGTGAGGCGCATGCCTTTTTTTATGGTGTGAGGCGCATGCCTTTTTTATGGTGTGAGGCGCATGCCTTTTTTATGGTGTGAGACGCATGCCTATGGTGTGTGGCGCATGCCTTTTTTATGGTGTGTGGCGCATGCCTTTTTTATGGTGTGAGGCGCATGCCTTTTTATGGTGTGAGGCGCATGCCTTTTTTATGGTGTGAGACGCATGCCTTTTTTATGGTGTGTGGCGCATGCCTTTTTTATGGTGTGTGGCGCATGCCTTTTTTATGGTGTGTGGCGCATGCCTTTTTTATGGTGTGTGGCGCATGCCTTTTTTATGGTGTGAGGCGCATGCCTTTTTTATGGTGTGAGGCGCATGCCTTTTTATGGTGTGAGGCGCATGCCTTTTTTATGGTGTGAGGCGCATGCCTTTTTTATGGTGTGTGGCGCATGCCTTTTTTATGGTGTGTGGCGCATGCCTTTTTTATGGTGTGTGGCGCATGCCTTTTTTATGGTGTGAGGCGCATGCCTTTTTTATGGTGTGAGGCGCATGCCTTTTTTATGGTGTGAGGCGCATGCCTTTTTTATGGTGTGTGGCGCATGCCTTTTTTATGGTGTGTGGCGCATGCCTTTTTTATGGTGTGGCGCATGCCTTTTTTATGGTGTGTGGCGCATGCCTTTTTTATGGGTGTGGCGCATGCCTTTTTTATGGTGTGAGGCGCATGCCTTTTTTATGGTGTGAGGCGCATGCCTTTTTTATGGTGTGAGGCGCATGCCTTTTTTATGGTGTGTGGCGCATGCCTTTTTTATGGTGTGAGGCGCATGCCTTTTTTATGGTGTGAGGCGCATGCCTTTTTATGGTGTGAGGCGCATGCCTTTTTTATGGTGTGAGGCGCATGCCTTTTTTATGGTGTGTGGCGCATGCCTTTTTTATGGTGTGAGGCGCATGCCTTTTTTATGGTGTGTGGCGCATGCCTTTTTTATGGTGTGAGGCGCATGCCTTTTTTATGGTGTGAGGCGCATGCCTTTTTTATGGTGTGTGGCGCATGCCTTTTTTATGTGAGGCGCATGCCTTTTTTATGGTGTGAGGCGCATGCCTTTTTTATGGTGTGAGGCGCATGCCTTTTTTATGGTGTGAGGCGCATGCCTTTTTTATGGTGTGAGGCGCATGCCTTTTTTATGGTGTGTGGCGCATGCCTTTTTTATGGTGTGTGGCGCATGCCTTTTTTATGGTGTGAGGCGCATGCCTTTTTTATGGTGTGAGGCGCATGCCTTTTTTATGGTGTGTGGCGCATGCCTTTTTTATGGTGTGAGGCGCATGCCTTTTTTATGGTGTGAGGCGCATGCCTTTTTTATGGTGTGTGGCGCATGCCTTTTTTATGGTGTGTGGCGCATGCCTTTTTTATGGTGTGAGGCGCATGCCTTTTTTATGGTGTGAGGCGCATGCCTTTTTTATGGTGTGTGGCGCATGCCTTTTTTATGGTGTGTGGCGCATGCCTTTTTTATGGTGTGTGGCGCATGCCTTTTTTATGGTGTGAGGCGCATGCCTTTTTTATGGTGTGTGGCGCATGCCTTTTTTATGGTGTGTGGCGCATGCCTTTTTTATGGTGTGAGGCGCATGCCTTTTTTATGGTGTGTGGCGCATGCCTTTTTTATGGTGTGAGGCGCATGCCTTTTTTATGGTGTGTGGCGCATGCCTTTTTTATGGTGTGTGGCGCATGCCTTTTTTATGGTGTGTGGCGCATGCCTTTTTTATGGTGTGAGGCGCATGCCTTTTGTGTGTTATTGTGCGCCTCTGTATTTGTCTTTATGTTCATGTTTTGTTGTTGTTCTTTTTGCTGTTATATGAAGTATTTTGACTATTTCCTGTGCCATGTGGGTTTGTGTTATTTTTTGTTATCTCTTTGTTCTGTGATTTGTACTTTGGTTTTTTATATCAATAAAAAAAATTGACCTTGGACCCAAGGGGAAGAGGAGAAGGCCCAGTGCACAATGCCTGGGCTCGATCCTGCAATGTGCAACACGGCCACCGGGCCTCCCCACCAACACCAGCAAAGTTTTGCCGGACCATCGGTTGTTACCTCAGTTCTCACCTCATATTTCCAGTCGCCAGTTGGGTAATGTTGTCTGCGTCTCGGCAACACTTTAGCTTCAAGTTTTATACAATGTTGCCATCCAGGGTCTCTTCTATGTTTTTTTAACGCCAGTACTAGTGTGTGGTGCCGTCTAATATAATTTTATTAACAATGCTCAATGGCATGGAGGAGACACATAAAATCAATAACAATAGTAATAGAATTTACTGAAGAGAAAACTACATAAACATGAGTGAAATATGCATATAATGACATATAATATAATAATAATAGTAGACAGCAGCGCCTCTCTGGTGACCTCTGGCAACTCGCGTCAGCTGGGCGAATTTAAAGGGGTCCCGCCCCCCCCCCAGAGGCGCCCCCCCCTCCTCACAGGCTTCTTGTTGTTAAAGATTCGCTACCTGGAACAAAGTTCCAAGTAGCACGGGCTATGGTGAGCCCGGAGTGGAGTTGCCGCCTCACTACCCATAGACACAGTCCTCTCGCCTCGACCACTCACGCCGCTCGCTGTCTTCACCAGGCAGTAGATAACATATGCAAGCTGCCCTACAGCCTACTCTACTTCTAATGATCATTAGACATTAGTAACAACTTATGTATATACTCTTAGGCCTATCTTGCCTAATATTAAGGGGAAAATGGTAGGGAACAATGATCTACCTTTAACATATCCTGCTCTCAGACACCTGGGCCTAGATTCACGAAGCAGTTACGCAAGTACTTACGAATGTATACATCTTTCCTCAATCTTTGACGGCTTTGGTTACATATATTAAACATTTTACAAGCATGAAAACTTCCCAATCAACTGTTGTTATTGTTATAAACAGCCTCCTGTTGCTTCGGAGCTCATTAACTGTTTAATAATTGTAAACAAAGCCGCCAAAGATTGAGAAAAGATGGACAGGTTCGTAAGTGCTTGCGTAACTACTTTGTGAATCTGGCCCCTGGACTCCGATGGTCGTCGTGGTCGTCGGCCGTCACGTCGCTCCTCAGCGTTCCGGTCTAGTTACAGGACCCTTGGCGTCGTGTAGACACACGTGGTCGTCGTGCACACTCCCATATGTACAGTTCCTGATGGTCGCTGGCTCATCCTGTTGTCACCGCTCACGTCGTCTCCCTCATTCGCCCCTTCACCCAAGACAAAATACTCATGGATCCAGATGCTATTTCTCGCTTCCCAGTGGTCGTGATCCAGTCACAGCAGCGCTGAGCACCTTGGAGTTCCACTGACGGCGAGCCACTCACTACTGCCGTCGCCACTCTCCACTCCTCCAAGACTATCAGCTCACAGTCCTCGGTGCTCTTACACCGCTGGAACTCGGCTTCCTCGCACTTCCCTCAAGTGTTGTAGTCTTCTGTGGTCGCTGTGAATGTGTCAGGCTGCTTCACTCCACTGAGTGAGGCTCCTGGACCTCCGAACTCGAGAGCTCAACCAGCGCACGTCCGCTCTCAACGAAGAGCCGATAATCTCTGAGCGCCAGGAGCTCTGCGACCTCTCAGCCCTGCCTCCCGATGACGTCACAGACCTAGGATCGGGCTCTCATTGGTCACTCTCGTCACGTGACCACAGCCAGCCAATCGCCAGCCTGCTGGCGTCTTCACGTTTTTGGCGCACTTTTGTCCAGGCCGTCGCCATTTTGTATGCACTAGGAGAGTAAGCCCCCCCCCCCTAACAAGCCAAAACTAAAATACAAATTTTATACCTGAATAAGTACTCTTGCTCGCCGTTACCTACGTCAAACGGATCCCTGCATCTCAGGGAACCAACAGGGTGTATATATATGATTCTTTTAGCTGGATAAGGGAAGATATAGGCGAGGGAACCGTAACAATATTAATCAGAAATAAATTCATATTAATATATATTATGGTTATGTCTATCGTTAGGACTAGGTTAGGTATTTTGGTTCTGTTGGATGTTACTTGTATTTATACTACGTGGGCAACTCCTCCTCTGGCTATGTTCATTCCCTCCTGCGGCCGACCCTAAACAAATATTTATCACTTTGAGCGTCCCCCTCTCAGTGTGTGTGTGTGTTTTTTTAATATATATTAATATTATTATATATTAGAATTTTGTACATAGACATAAGTTACGTGTTTAGATTCTGTTGGCAATTGTTTGTAGTTGCGGTACGTGAGTGAAGCATTTCAGCTTGTACTTAGGCCAGGATCGTTAAAGCGGCGGCAGTCTCTCCAAGATGCATTTGTCAATTTGTTAATTGTGCTTACAAATAATTTTCTTCTCATATATAAATTAAAATTATTATATATTAAAGTTCAATGTATAGTTAAGCGAAGTATTATTCGAGAAATATTCAAACGTCTTGAACAGTGTTCAAGTTCCCTCTCTTGAACAGTGTTCCTCCCCTAACCACCGAGGACCATACCCTCCCCTCACCAACAAGGACCATACCCCCCCCCCCTCACCAACGAGGACGACCCCTCACCAACGAGGACGACCCCTCACCAACAAGGACGACCCCTCACCAACGAGGACGACCCCTCACTAACGGTAGTCTCCCCTCCACAGCGGACGGGTTCACCTACACCTTCGGGATCTACTTCGTGCAGCTGATGCAGTACTACGACGCCTCCGCCGCCTCCACCTCCTGGATCGCCTCCATCCTGGTCGGCGTCACTCTCGGCTCAGGTCAGTACCCTCACCAACGTGTGTGTATATATATGTGTGTGTATATATATATATATATATATATATATATATATATATATATATATATATATATATATATATATATATATATATATATATATATATATTATTATTAAATATGACCGAAAAAGTAAGATTAATAATTCTAACACGAATTTTCTCAATCTTTCGTACATTTCTTTTCACTGCTGGTGGTAATTCAAAAATCAATTCTCCAAAATTCATTTTTATTTCTAGTCTGACGCGACACTTGAGCGCGTTTCGTAAAACTTATTACATTTTCAAAGACTTTAGTTACACATACACAACTGAATAGAACTTACATATCTCCGATTTGTTTATATCTACATTTAAGTGAGGTGGATGGGGTGAGGTGGTATTTAATAGGGTATTAAATTCATCAACACAAGACAGAACACGAAACAATGGGTATTGAATAGAAGTGATTGTAGAAAGCCTATTGGTCCATATTTCTTGATGCTTCTATATTGGAGCGGAGTCTTGAGGTGGGTAGAATATAGTTGTGCATTAATTGGCTGTTGATTGCTGGTGTTGACTATATATATATATATATATATATATATATATATATATATATATATATATATATATATATATATATATATATATATATATATATATATATGCAATTGACGATCACAAAACACTGATCATTTTATGCGGAAAATCCACAGAGAAATATGAAATGAGGTGAACGTTTCGGCTTTGTTAAAGCCTTTGGTCAGTCTGGTGTTGACAAAGGCTTTAACAAAGCCGAAACGTTCACCTCATTTCATATTTCTCTGTGGATTTTCCGCATATATATATATATATATATATGACAATGTCAGACCACGGAGGAAAAATGAAACAGGAATTTCCTTAAGTACTCCTTCTTTCCTTAAGTACTTTCCTTAAGTACTCATTTGACTCCTTCTGAAGATGTATTAATATACGAAAGTACTTAAGGAAATTCCTGTTTCATTTTTCCTCCGTGGTCTGACATTGTCACATTTTTAATCATATATATATATATATATATATATATATATATATATATATATATATATATATATATATATATATATATATATATATATATATATATATATATATTAATTAATTATTTACACTTAAAATTTACTTATATAAATTTACACGTTTCGAACCAACATGGTTTATTCTCAAGTGATGGGACAGTGCTGGGCATATTGGATTTATACCACTAGGGATGTCAGGTACAGACAGACACAAGTAGATGATGAGTAATGGGTAAAGCAGTCAACAGTAAAGCATAAAAGTGTGAAGAATAAGGTGGAAAAAGTGTACGAAGCAAATATAAAGATTAATCATGTGTAGTGGAGGTGGCATGTTGGGCAGTGTCTTCCATGTTGGCATGTTGAGCAGTGTCTTCCATGTTGGCATGTTGAGCAGTGTCTTCCATGTTGGCATGTTGAGCAGTGTCTTCCATGTTGGCATGTTGAGCAGTGTCTTCCATGTTGGCATGTTGGGCAGTGTCTTCCATGTTGGCATGTTGAGCAGTGTCTTCCATGTTGGCATGTTGAGCAGTGTCTTCCATGTTGGCATGTTGAGCAGTGTCTTCCATGTTGGCATGTTGAGCAGTGTCTTCCATGTTGGCATGTTGAGCAGTGTCTTCCATGTTGGCATGTTGAGCAGTGTCTTCCATGTTGGCATGTTGAGCAGTGTCTTCCATGTTGGCATGTTGAGCAGTGTCTTCCATGTTGGCATGTTGAGCAGTGTCTTCCATGTTGGCATGTTGAGCAGTGTCTTCCATGTTGGCATGTTGAGCAGTGTCTTCCATGTTGGCATGTTGAGCAGTGTCTTCCATGTTGGCATGTTGAGCAGTGTCTTCCATGTTGGCATGTTGAGCAGTGTCTTCCATGTTGGCATGTTGAGCAGTGTCTTCCATGTTGGCATGTTGAGCAGTGTCTTCCATGTTGGCATGTTGAGCAGTGTCTTCCATGTTGGCATGTTGAGCAGTGTCTTCCATGTTGGCATGTTGGGCAGTGTCTTCCATGTTGGCATGTTGAGCAGTGTCTTCCATGTTGGCATGTTGAGCAGTGTCTTCCATGTTGGCATGTTGAGCAGTGTCTTCCATGTTGGCATGTTGAGCAGTGTCTTCCATGTTGGCATGTTGAGCAGTGTCTTCCATGTTGGCATGTTGGGCAGTGTCTTCCATGTTGGCATGTTGAGCAGTGTCTTCCATGTTGGCATGTTGAGCAGTGTCTTCCATGTTGGCATGTTGGGCAGTGTCTTCCATGTTGGCATGTTGAGCAGTGTCTTCCATGTTGGCATGTTGAGCAGTGTCTTCCATGTTGGCATGTTGAGCAGTGTCTTCCATGTTGGCATGTTGAGCAGTGTCTTCCATGTTGGCATGTTGGGCAGTGTCTTCCATGTTGGCATGTTGGGCAGTGTCTTCCATGTTGGCATGTTGAGCAGTGTCTTCCATGTTGGCATGTTGGGCAGTGTCTTCCATGTTGGCATGTTGAGCAGTGTCTTCCATGTTGGCATGTTGGGCAGTGTCTTCCATGTTGGCATGTTGAGCAGTGTCTTCCATGTTGGCATGTTGGCCAGTGTCTTCCATGTTGGCATGTTGGGCAGTGTCTTCCATGTTGGCATGTTGAGCAGTGGCTTCCATGTTGGCATGTTGGGCAGTGTCTTCCATGTTGGCATGTTGGGCAGTGTCTTCCATGTTGGCATGTTGGGCAGTGTCTTCCATGTTGGCATCTTCCCACCCAACATAAATACCCACATTACGGAACTGTTCACTCTACCCACCATGAGAGTAACAACATGACCCGTACGTGAAGATGTGTGGGGGGGGGGGAGAGTCGAGTACTATGATACCTGCCTGGGGCTCGAACACCTCCCACAACCCCATCCAACAGCTATCCCAACTTTGCAGGGGGAAATGGGTTAGGACACGGGATGGACATGGGCTGGGTGGGTGGGGGGGGGGGGGTGTAGGCCTAAGTTAAATGCTTCACAAAATATTATATGTACCTCAGCTACAATGTAAAGAATATATTTTGAAAGATTTTAAACTGAACCTGGATGGATTCTGAGAGTAAAAGTTGTGTGGCCGTTCTCCAGATGAACAAAAAATGTGCAGCTTTGAATGGTGGTGTTAGTGTGCAACAATATGTCCTGGCTAGACACTACTACCAAGTAGTAGTGTCTACCAAGTAGATACCAAGTAGATACTAGTGTTACCAAGTAGTCTCCATAACTACCAAGGGTGCCAACACTCCCCACACCTGCCGGGCTGGCTCCACATATGCATCTTTCCTCCACACGCTTCCCGCTTCATTTTCAATAATAATTAATCTTTCACTGAAGAATAAATGAAATTGATTTGAACATTTAGGAAAGTGTTGTTGTGGCAATAATTGACCTGCAAGAGTTGAGGAGGAAGAGTAGAGTAATCCTCTCACTGGGACATTCCTTCGTCAGTAGCTTAAAATGATTTTAAATTGAGTAGGTCAATTTGAGTAGAAATTAATGTTTGTATTATAATTATAGAAAACGTAATACCAAGAAAGGAAGTCGATTTAATTGAAATAAATCTGTAATCCCAGATGAAGATGAGAGAGTTCAAAGAGAAGATAATGGTGCCAGTAGTACAATATGGCTGACGTTGTACCAGATCAGGTGTTGCAACCCGTCCTCCTCTGTACACTGTACATGTTGTAACTGTGCACCATCCTCTATACATACACGTAATGAACAAGTACATGGTAGAATTTGGTAGTATTCACTTAATATGGTCAAGAAAAAAGTGAGCTAAACACAAAACTTAAATATTCCTACGCCAATCATATGTATTATATTAATTTGGCCTCAGATAGCATGTATTAGGACCAGGAAGGTTAAGTCAAGTTTTCCTTGCAACATCACTACAAAAACTTTTCCGTTTTGTCCAAATTCAGGAGTACGAATTTATATTTTGTAATTGACTTTTACGACAATATATGTGGGATGGTTGTGGTGGTTAGTGTCAGTAGCAGGTAATGGGTAGGATGGTGTGAGTATCCCCTGGTCACTGACCCGCCCGTTACTTCCCGTTTTCCTCCACCAGTCACCAAGCTCGGGGCATGTGCTGCCCACCAGGCAACTCAACCATTTGTTCCCACATGAAATTTGCGAACTTGAGCCATAGTTTCAGTGAGAAATATATAGTAGTAGTAATAGTAGCCATCCATCAATGTATACAGATTTGATTAAGAACGAAAAAATCATTCAGAATAAACAAAGTTGTAACTCTGATGTGTTTGTTCTCTGTGATGGCAGCAAGCACGGGAAGCATATTTAGAACATGTGTGTGCCCTATATATAGTGAGAAGGATGTTTACCCGCTCCCCAACACTTTAAACGTTCGCTAACATGCTTTCTTGTCTACAATTATTTAGCTCTTCAAATTTATGTACAAGTTCATGTGCCAAGATCTTCTTAGTTACAAAAGTAAACACAGTACTAATTTGTTAGAGAAAGTTGTGTTGAAGTGATGGTTGTGGTCTGCCAGAGTGTGTTAAGGTCTTCTCCCTCGTGACAACTGTGCACCAAGTTGTAGCTGCTGTTTTATAAGGCGGCCCAAGCCATCAGTTGGCCTTCCTCGGCAGGTGTGGCGGTTAGAGGGGTGGAGCAGGTGTGTGGTGGGGGGCGGCAGGTGTGTCGTGGGGGGGTGGGGCAGGTGTGTCGTGGGGGGGGGGGCGGGTGTGTCGTGGGGGGAGGCAGGTGTGTCGTGGGGGGGTGGGGCAGGTGTGTCGTGGGGGGGGGGCGGGTGTGTCGTGGGGGGGAGGCAGGTGTGTGGTGGGGGGGTGGGGGTGTTGTTTACTGTAGCGGCCAGGGACGACAAGCGGCCCGGCACTAAGTCAGCTCACATTCCAAGAGAGGCTGAGGACGGCCGGAGTGAGAGTTCTGCACCACACACAACATGGAGGACCGTCTTAAGTCATATA